TATATGTGGAAATAAAAATTCATGGGACTTGGGGCTGAGGAGAGGATTAAGGGAGTTCTGATTTGGTTTGGTAGATGATTTTATCTCCCTTCTAAGTATTGTATTTTTAGATCCATCTTGTTTGAATAGTAGAATTTGGTAGCCATCTCCTTTTGGCTCCTTTACTCGTACCTCCTTTTTCACTACTCTCCTTTAGTCTTTTGGCCTAGCAGGATCTTTTCCAGTGAAGGAAATTTGGTGTAATCGTGTACTCCAAAGATAAGGGCTTTTTGTTGGGAGGTGGTGGTTCAAAAAATCAATACCTTGGACAAGCTTCAGAGAAGAAGGCCAAATTGATGCCTATCACCTCGTGTATGTAGCCTCTGCCTTGCCTGTGGTGAGACAATTATACATCTATTATGGTCTTGTTTGGAATTGGTTTTCATCTCTCTTTGGTTGCAGGTGGACTTCTTTGAATATGGTAGGCCTCTTTGACCCAAACCTCTTTAGACTTCTGAAGAAAAGGGGATGAGTAATGTGGAGAGCCACAAGAGCAGCAATCCTTTGGTCAATTTGGGAGGAGAGGAATAAGAGAATCTTTGAAGGGATTGAAAGATCTAAGGAGAAAGGCATTTACTCCATAGCTATTAAGGTTATACATTAGCTGAAATCAATTGAGTTATTCAAAGACTACTCAGTCGAGGACATTTTTAGGGGATGGTCTGTAGTGGCGAATTCATCTATAAAGAAGGTGGTTCAGGATGAATGAATCCCCTCAATGCAACAAAGGGTGAAGTTGAATTTTGATGGAAGTCCATGGGTAATCTGGGTCCCTCTGTCATTGGGAGAGTATTCAGAGATGCGGAGGGTGGACTGGTTGCATTTTACTTTGGACCAATAGGTGTGGGAGATTCACTAAGAGCTCAGGTTATGGCCTTACTTCAAGACTTGAGGCTGGCTAAGCAGTGGGGCTTTCACAATCTTGAGGTGGAAGGGGATTTGAAGTTACTATTAGGATGGTTGCAAAAAGAAATCTTAGTACAGGAAATGATGAAAATATTCAGCTATGCATGGAAAGTTTGGGTACTCTTCAAGTGGATCAGCTAATGGTTTACCTGATACTTTGGCAAAGCAAAGGACTTGTGGGGAAAATCTGTTTTGGGCTATGCTGTAATCCTTGAGATAACTTTTGGGCCTATGGGGTCAACAGTCTTGTAGTGAGTGATTGACATTTGTACTCATTTATCTATTTAAGTAATGTAACGTACCATTTCCAATAAAAAATGTACCGCTATTTGAGTACTAACTTGTTACTTGGTATAGAGATATGTTTTCCAGTGTAAGTATACACTAAATTTGCTTGAGGAGTCAAGCATGATAGGCTGTAAACCAGTAGCTACACCTATAGTTCAGTACACTAAACTTGTATCTGATCAGGGGGATTTAGTTGATAATCCAAGATAGCATTGAAGGTTGGTTGGAGATCTGAATTACTTGACTATAACACAGCTCAACATATTGTTTGCAGCTAGTGTTTTTACTTAGTTTATGGAATGTGGATTCACCCAGGGTTCCTCATTTAGATGTTGTGTTTAGGACATTAATTGAAGGGTTCTCTAGGCCTTGGAGTGATTTACAAAGATTATGGACATTTTGCTATATCAAATTACACTGATGTATATTGGGCTGGTTTACTCTCAAACCATCTGTCTACTACAGGGTACAGGCTACTGTACATTTCTTAGGGCTAATCTTGTCTTGGAAGAGTAAGTAGTGTAGTTGCTAAGTCTAGTTTCAAAGCCAATTATTTGGCAATGAGCCACATCATAGGAAAACTTACACCGATTAAGAGTTTATTCAAGAGATGGCATTTCCAGTTCCATTTCCTATGCATATTCATTGTGACAGTCAGGCTGGTATACTTATTTTCCTCAAAACCAGTATTTCATGAGAGCCTGAGAGAATAAAACATATTGAAGTCGATTGCCACTTTGTATGTGAGAGGATACAGAGTAATGGTATAGAGACCTCATTTATCATTTTTGAGATTCAGCTTTCAGATTTATATAACAAGGTGTTACCTAGAGCCCAGGGTGACATCATTATTTCCAAGTTGATTCTATATGATATATACACAGTAGCTTGAGGGGGGTGTTGGGAGCATTTTTTTTTTTTTGAAACTGTAAAGTATTTCATTAATATTCTTAACACCATACAACTATGCAGATCCCTGTACAACGAGAATCTGTACAAGAGGAAATAAACCGGTATACCCAAACAATTAGCCCCAACCAAAATTCTGAACTCCTTACAAAAGGAAATCCTGATAAAGAAAGAGCATGAATGTTTATTTTTGAATAAAGGGTGTTTTTCCAGCCATGAATGCATCATTCCTGAAATCCTTTTAAACACCTCTTCTTTTGTACTTTGTCTGTCTTCAAAAACTTTGCTGTTTCTTTCATCCCACACTGCCCAAAAAACTGCTGAAGGGAGGATGTTCCAAGCTAATATTCTAGACCTGCTTAATCCATTTACATACCAAGCTCCAATGAATCCCATCACATCAGCCGGGAAGCACATGTGAATCCCAAACAAAATCTCTTGTCCAAATCCAATAAGTGAATTCGCATTGCAGTAACAAATGACTACTAAATTCTATGCAATCATTGCAAAGAATGCAAGCCATATCTGCCACCTCCATACCTCTCCTAGCTAAATTGTCCTTAGTTGGGATCTTATCCAGCACTGTGGACCAAACAAAGAAAGCCAGCTTGGATGGAACAGACCTTGCTCAAATCCTGTCACTAGGTTGAAGTGTCCTCCCCTACCAAATTGTTATAAGAAGATTTTACAGAAAATCCCTGATTTCTCAAATAACCATTTTCTTTTGTCTTCCCCTACTCCAGATGTTCCTGAATCATAAAGAACCTGGAGCAACCTGACCAAGGAGGTCTCCTCACAATCATTTAAGTTCCACCTGAATTGGGGGTTCCATATACAAAGCCCATTTTGCCTCTCTAGGTAATCCGCCACAGATGCACCCTTATTGGTAGCAATCTCGAACAGGTCTGGGAATAGAACCCTTAGTGGACCATTCCCACACCAGTAATCCTTCCAAAAAAGAACTCTCTCACCATTGCCAACTTCATACTTTATACCCTCCATAAACTGAGAATTGTGTTTCTGTGTTGCCTTCCAAACTGAACACCCATAAGATGATCTTACTTTGTCTGTTTCCCACTCCCTGCTGCTGGAACCATTCTTAGCTACAATTAATCGACTGTCCAGTTATTCATTGAATCTCCACAACCACTTCCCCAACAAAGCATTGTTGACCTGTTTTACTGATCTGATTCCCAAACCCCCATTAGTTCTGGAACAGCAAACATTTTTCCAACTCACTAGATGGCACTTTGACTCCTCCTTCCACCCCTCCAAAGAAAGTCTCTCATCTTTCTTTCTAATTAGGGTGACTTTACCCCCTTTTGATAAGTATTTTGTCTTCAAAGAGGCCAACTTTCTATCCACTTTTTCAATGACAGGCTCCCAAATGAAATTGGATTTGCAATTTCACCCAGAGGCATACCCAAGTACTTTGTTGGAAGTTACCAACTCTGAATCCCCAATCAGCAGCCCATGCTTCCAAGTTTAAGACATTCTTGACTGCCATTATTTCACTCTTTTGGATGTTAATATGTAAACCTGTGATCACCTCAAACCATCTTAATATTGCTTTTACATTCCAGATTTGCTCCCACGAAGCATTACAGAAGAAAAGAGTGTCGTCTGCAAATTGGAGCAGAGCAATCTCCACCTCCCCATTCTCTACTTTGAAACCTTCCACTAGTCCTCCCTGTCTGCCTCTACAAGCCTGGAAAGGGCTTCTGTCATGCAGATAAACAAGAGTGGGGAGAGGGGGTCCCCATGTCTCAGCCCCCTAGAACTCCAAAACAGCCCAAAAGAACTCCTGTTTACCACCATTGAGAAAGATGAGGAAGAAAGGCACACTTTTTTCCCATTTCTCCATTTCTCTTCAAAGTTCGTCCTCTTTAACATATAATCCAATAATTTCCAATTCACATGGTCATAAGCTTTCTCCATATCCACTTTACACAGCAGCCCTGCACGACCACATTTCTCCTTGAGTATTATTTCGTTGCAATGAGCACTCCGTCCACAATCAATCTACCTCCAATGAGCACACTTTGAGGTTCAGCAATCAAACTTGATACCACCTTTGCCATTCTATTTTCCAAAAGTTATGCTATTATCTTGTAGCGGCTGCTCACTAGACTAATGGGTCTAAAGTCTCTCAACTTCACTGCCCATTTCTTTTTGGGGATTAAAGTGATGAATGTGTGGCCTCAACTTCTTTCGAGAGTACCCCTTTCATGAAACTCCCTTAACACATGCATTACACCTTATTTCACGATTCCCCAACATTTTTTATAGAATAGAACTGTGATTCCAACGGGCCCCGGGGCCGTATCCCCCTCTAAACCTCTTATCACTTCACCCACACTTCTTTCTCAGAAAAGGGCGTCTCCAGGTCTCTAGCTTGTTCAGTCGACAAAGACTTGAATTGCAGGCCATCTAAAGCTGGTCTAATCCTCCAAACTTCCTTATAAAGATTCTCATAATTATGTTTCTGGTTTTGTTTTATTCGCACTTAAGACCTTTTATTTAGGGGTATAATAGTCTATTATTTTTTGTTAACTAAGTGGGGCAGTTTAGCCAATGCTGTTTTGCTACTAAACAGGGACATTGATGTAATTTCATTGTTTTTTTGAGAGACTAATATAAATAGATGCTTGGCTAATTGGAAGAATAGCTTTTCTCTCACAATTGAAAGCTCCTTTTTCTTCCCTATTTATTGCTGTTTTCATCCTATTGTCCATACTCCATACTCTTTCTCTATCTCTACTGCACAGTAGAGGCTGATCATGGACATTTATGAATCTTTCTTCATATTTATTGTCAAAAGTTAATGGTTTCTTATCAAATATTACATTTTGGTGCAGGCTGAACTTTTGGGGGTATTCTACTGTGAATTATTTCTCACCAATGATAAGATATTCATCAGGTGGTATACTTAATTGTGGCCGTGATGCAATAAATGAAGTCAAGACTCTTATTAGAGAAGCACATAAACGAGGCATTGAGGTGATATGTACTTATATTGTGTTTAATGTTATTTCTAGTTTCTTTAATTTTCTGGTTGATTTCTATCTGTGATCTTGCTTTTCAGGTGCTTTTGGATGTTGTCTTCAATCATACAGCTGAGGGCAATGAGAATGGCCCTGTCCTATCATTTAGAGGTGTTGATAACAGTGCCTATTATATGCTTGCTCCTAAGGTATACCTACAGATTTCTTTGGTGGGTTGTGTATTTTAATTAACTTACATGTATCCTTTTCAAGAAAAAGGACTCCGTTTTACTTATTCAGTTGAATAATGTCACAGTCACAAAACCAGTTCGTACTAGAGAGAAAGCACCAGAAATCAGGGATATTTCAGAGAATGAATCGGCCCCACCCTAAACATATGCGTGTATGAGTGTGTGTGTGTGTGTAATTACAGAAAAGCCCTTATAGGGCTAAAGAAGAAGAAGACAAAGAAAGAAATAAGGAATAGCATACAACAGGGACTAAATAATACGCAGATATGCAAATACCATTTAGAAAAAGAAAGAAAACAGTTGTGTACTTTGCTTTTCTTTTTTGAGGTGGGTTTTAATGCAATATTCAATGAAAATGTCATATTGATAGTTGATTCGTATATTAAATAGGTTATTCTTTGTTGTCTTTGGTTTTGACATATGATCCTATTTGTGATGGAAATCCCTTTTTTCTTTTTTGAACATATTACATTTTCTTTCCTGGAATTTGTATGGTGTTTTTGCCTCTTATGGCACTTTTTCCTTCAATTCTCATCTTGGAGATGGATTAGATTGTTGCTTCTGGTTGTCTTAAATTTTAGTTTTTGGTCATTATTTAAGTTTATTTTTGGATGGGTATCTGTAAGCATTTATTAATTATGTGCATTATTTAGGTTTTAATTTTTGTTGAACACGGACATTGTTTTTTGGATTTTATTAGTTGTTGACTGTAAAATGGTAAAGGGACTGAGTAGAGAAAGAAAAATATGAAAATAATAAAATTACTGAATCCCTTATGTCTACAATGTAGAGAATTCATTATCTGGTTTAAGAAAGTATTTTTTTAGTAGGCATGAAAATTTGTGGTTGTAGCTTGTGCATTTCACCTCTGAAAGACACTAAGAGATTGTATGACCTACTGAGCCAATGTGCCTTTTCTTTATTCCTGGCATGCCTAAATAATATTTTAAAGCTGCAGTGCATAGGGCATGCAGCCTGCTACTGCTAGAATTTTTTTCTCTAATTTTTCTATCCCAGGTCTTTTAATTTCTTGGTGATCATAAATTATTGATAAGGATATGGCCTATTTAATTGCTGTAGGGAGAGTTCTATAATTATTCAGGTTGTGGCAACACCTTTAATTGCAATCATCCTGTTGTGCGCCAATTTATATTAGATTGCTTGAGGTAAATATACCAGAATCTCCTGACCCTTTTTCTTTAATTTCTTTCAATTTCTCTAATTGATTACTGTTTATATTTGGGTGAATAAAACCTTTTCCTTAAATTCACCTTCAAAAATTTTGTGCACAAAACTTTTGCAACCTTTTGCATCTGCAGTATGTATGCATTTGTGTATTTTCTGCCTTATGGAGGGATCTTTCGGTTCACCCAGTCTGTACATCATATGGGGGATCCATGGATTGGCCGCATGTTCAATCCTAAAAGTTCATATCATTAATATGCCACACCTACTGATGTTTCCCACAAATAATATCAACTTTTCAATGTTTTTATTTTTTAATAAAAAACTTGCATATAAAAGTGGATTTATTCTGTACATGTGGAAAGGTGTTTTCAGCTTAATTTTTTTCTTTGACTAAAGGTAGGGAAGGAATTTGAAGATTCCTTTTCATCTTCAAACTAATTTGTCATGTGTAGGATTCCTTGGTTATTGAACGAGGCCCATTAAATTACCTAACTAGAAACCTAATTATCATCCTTGTTTTTATATTTCTCCTATCATTTTTTTCTTTTACTGCAACAAGTTGTTAAAATCTGCAATGTTTTGGTGTTCAACAGATATTGGGTAACAGAAATGCATGTAGATGGTTTTCGCTTTGATCTTGCTTCTATCCTAACCAGGGGTTGCAGGTTGCCTACTACTGGCCTTGCTGAGTTATTTCTTCCTTAACCCAGTATTTAAGGTAGACTAACAGTTTGTTTTGTTTTGTTACTCTTTACTAAGCTTATGGGATGCAGTTAATGTATATGGGAATCCAATAGAAGGTGATTTATTGACAACAGGCACCCCCTTGGGCAACCCTCCATTGATTGATATGATCAGTAATGATCCAATCCTTTGTGGAGTGAAGGTACTTATTCTAGGTCTTTTTCTTACATTGAGGAATTTTTGCTTAGTTATTTAATGTAAAATTTATGCTTGAATAGTGAATGAACAGGTAGCTTTGGAAATTGTCTTTGTTTAGGAGCTTGAAAATAGCCCCACAAAGAGCACTGCTGCCATTTTAGAATTTGGCATCATGATCATTAATGGGGCATGGCCTCTCTCATTTGAGAGAAGTAGTAACCATTGGCATTCTAACCAATATGTAGGAACTTGAAATTCAGAATCCACTAACAAAGGTATTTAGCTAAGTTGACTTGTACGAATTTGAGAATTTTACTGAACCACTTTGTTAACGCAGTTGAGTTACAAGGAATTAAGTACATGCTGCTTGGTTAATTCAAAATCTATTTACCCTTACAATTCAGTCTACCCTTTGAGTTTTAAAAGTTGGATTATGAACAATGTTTTGAAAGTCAAACTAGACTGGAGGGTTGAATTACTTGAACAATCAAATTGAAGGTGAAAAACTGTGCAGAAATTAGGGATAGTGGGCATCTAAGTAGGCACATGATTGCTGGGGGGGGGGGGGATTGGTGGAATTGATAGTGGGCATCTATCATAATCCTCCTAGATCAAACCCAAGGAGCACATAGATTGCATTTTTTGAATTTTTTTTTGATAAGTAAGGAAAAAATTATTAAAAGAAAAAAAAGAAACTGAATACAACCTCAGAGCAGGTGTTAAGATAATACCCCCCAGACCACACAACTATGGCCAACCAACAAGAACAACAAAAACAACAAAAACAGAGAAAACAAGAGGAACACATCATTTCTGCAACAACCACACCAAAGAAGCAATTCACTTGCAAAGCCACAAGTCAATCTTCCACCTCACCAAACTCTTCTTGGCCTCCCTCCTTATCCCAAGATTCTCCCACTAACTCTTCAGAGACCTTTCTCAAGCTTTCTTCTCTCCTTTGTCTCTCATGAGCTTCCAAGGCTTTCCTTACAAAGAGAACAAGCCCAGGGATTTACCAACTTCCACCTTTCTATCAACTAGAGTCTTCAAAACCACCCCACCTTTCTTCTTCTTCTTATCCTTCGGATCCTCCTTAGGAGAGACCTCACTCGAATCAAACTCATCCCTCACAACTTTCTCTGACAAGTCCGGATTGATTGGCATCTCCTAGTTAGAACCATCTTGACGAGGTTTATTTCTGACCCCATTGGATGAGAATGAAGAAACCGGGCAAGATTTCTCCTGACTCGAAGATCTTAATTTAATCCTTCTTCTGTAGATCTTTCTATACTTACTTGTCGGTCCAGCTCCCACTAGGCCCTCTTTTATCCTTGAGAAAACTTTCGTGATATGCACTACATTGAGTTTGCTTGAATTTATGGTCTTCTTTGGGATTTCCGAAGTCTCACTATTTGTGAAGATATATTTTGATGTACATTATTAGTATAGCCTTTGTTGTACAGTAACAGTATTCTCATTATTTTATTTGTTTCCTTTATCTTTCAGCCCTATAAGGGAATTCTTGTAACTGTACATATCTTTTATATCTTTTAATATAAAAGGGACTCTTTGGGGTGGGGGTCGGCTATTCTTGACACCCCTAAATCTGTACTTTCTCTTGTTCTCAGTTCGGTTCACATGGTATTAGAGCAGGTTGCTCTTTGATCCATTTCTCCTTTTTTTATCAGTTGAGAACTTTTATCACTGCTGATTGGTCCTGGACTGTCTTGATCTTCCAAGAACCATTTTTCTGTACTCTGTGCACCTAGCAAGAGAGATTTCATTGGATTTCTCTCGTTTGACATCAGTTTGCAGTAAGATTTGAAAGGAATTGTCGCCTAGCCTTCATCAACATATTCTGAAGTTTTCATTGAGATCTGTGAAGTTTTGAGAGAGATCTGTACATCTCTTCTGGGTGGTTGCTTCCAGACTTTCCTTTTCTGGACTGTGTATCCAGTTTTCTTCTATTACTGGATCTTAAACAATCTCTAGTGACGGTAAGGGGTTTCTTTTCTCAGTTTTTGACTCTCTTGGATTCAATTACTGATTATCTTGCTTGCTTTGATCAGTTTTTACTTCAGTCTAGTTCTTTTGGACTATTGTCGAACCCTATTTTTGTTGTTTTATGCTGTAATGGCGTCAGGCAGAGGGGATATTATTCCTGTGAAGATGAATGGACAGAATTATGCGATGTGGAAGTTCCATTTTGATTTTTATGTTGAAAGGAAAGGTTTGGAAGGATACCTGAATGGGACTGTCACTAAACGAACTGAAGCCGAGGTCAAAGCCTTACAACAATGGAAACTGGATAACGACAAGCTTGTTTCTTGGAGTCTTAGTTCTATTGATTATCATATTTCTGTAGCTATGAGAAGAATGAAAACAGCCTATGAAATGTATTCGTATTTGGAGAAAGTTTATCAACAGTCCAATGTATCTAAACAGTTCCAAATAGAATTAGAGATATTTTCCTACAGTCAAGGAGATAGAAAGATACAAGAATATTATTCAGGTTTTCTTGATTGGTGGGTTGAATACAAAATCGTCCATATTGATCCCTCAGACTCAGCGGAATGTGTGAAATATCTCCAAAAACACTTTGAGAAGAGGAGGGTAACTCAGTTTTTGATGAGGCTTAGACCTGAATATGAGATAATCAGATCCAATATTCTGAGTAGGGGAACACTTCCAAATCTGGATTTTATTTTAGGGGAGCTACTGAGCGAAGAGACTAGGCTTCTCACTATAGCCGGATTTGATGGAAAGATGTCTGAAGTAGGGGCTGAAACAACTTTTGTTGCTCATGGAGGTAAGAAGTAAATCTCCAAGGACTTCTCTAAAACCCAGTGTTATGAGTGTAAGGGTTTTGGACACATTGCCTCTCATTGTAAGAAGAAGAATGTGTGCACCTATTGCAAGCAACATGGTCACATCATTCCAAATTGTCAAATCCGACCAGCTAAGGGTTCTCAAAAAAAGACTCAACCCCAGTCTATCAAGTAACAGATGGACAGGCAATTGACACTCTATCCACCAAGGATGATTCTATAGTGAAAAATGATTCAATTGGTGCTATGGATGAAGAAAAGGTTCTGCAATTGGTATCCTCTATTATATCCTTTGCTTTCTTTGCTATTGGCTTGTCTGGTAAGTTCTTTGCATATTGTTCTTCCCCTTCACATGCTTGGATTATAGATTCAAGTGCCACCATTCATATAACAGGAGCCTACCTCAATCACCCAAATTCATCTACTGAGACTCACCATAAACACATTATTACTGCCTATGGTGAAAAATTAGACATTATTGGTAGTAATGACTTGTCCCTTAAACTGTCACCCACTAGATCCTTCCCTCTCCAAAACCCTCTTAGTACCCAACCTTGCTACTAATCTGATTTATGTTGGTCAACTTGTTGTTGAAAGAAATGCTCTCACCTTTTTCTCATGACGGTGCTTGATATAGGACCAGTACACTAGGAAGGTGAAAGGTAAGGGGCGTAGGTGGGCCATCTGTTTGCGTTGGAGTTCGAGAAATCTCAATTAGGAGAATCCTCAACTTTGCTTAGTTCTTCTATGTTTGATTCTTTGTTGAGTTATAGAAATAATGTTTGGGATTTATGGTATAAACTAGAGGTGTAAAGTGGGCCATATCGGGCCGGCACGGCACGGCACGGCCCGTGGGCGGCCTGCGCAAAGTGCGGGCCGTGCCGTGCTGGCTCACGAGCCCGTGCCGTGTCGTGTCATACTGCGGGCTGGGCTAGCCCATGGGTCGAGCCTTGGGCCAGGTTGGGCCGTGCATCGGGCCAAAGCTATTTATTTTAAAAAAATTGACAAAAACTTAAAATTTTAATTTTTTATGAATTTTGTGTATAAAATTGCTTATATGTGCAATAATTAAATAAATTAGTATAATAAAATTAAAAAATATATTTATTTTATTAATATATTATTATATAATTATAACTTATATTAATATTATATAACTATATGTAAAAAATATATAAATATATATAAAATATATATATGTCGTGCCGGCCAGTGGACCTAAAACCCCAGGCCCAGCACGGCCCGCATGGTCATATCGGGCCGTGTGGGGCCGTAGGCAGCATGGCCCAATTTACACCTCTAGCATAAACGATTGGGTCATCCATATTCTCAAAAGTTGAAGTTTTTGTTTGACTCTAGTTTAATTAAGAATAAAATTCCTCCTGTTCATGCTTTTGATGTTTCTTGCACTACTTGTTTGAGTAAAAGTCAAGTTTTACCTTTTCTTCACACTTCTGAACATGCCATTAAACCTTTTGAGATAATACATAGTGATGTTTGATCTACTTATATTACTTCACGATTGGGATACAAATACTTTGTATTGTTTATAGATGATTGTACAAAATACACTTGGATTTATTTTCTACGGCACAAATAAGAAGTCTTTGCCACATTTAAATTATTCTATACTATGGTGCAAACTCGCTTCAAGTGTAATGTGAGTATCCTCCGTTCAAATTCAAGGGGAGAATATAGGGAGGGAGACTTTTAGGCTTACTTGAGGAGTTATGGAATTCAAGCTCACCGCAACTGCCCAGACACTCCACATCAGAAAGGTGTGGCTGAATAGAAGAATGGACATATCCTTAGTGTTGTGCAGACATTACTACAGGAATCCCACACTCCAATTTTGTTTTCGGTAGAAGCAGCCAGTACAACTTGGAATTTGATCAACTATCTTCCTTCCTCTGATCTCGGCAACACTTCTCCCTTCTAGAAACCTTTTGGTCATCCCCCTGATTTCTCCAGTCTTCATGTTTTTGGTTGTCTTTGTTTTGTACATCTTCCTGTTCGTGAACATTCTAAATTAATTACTCAGTCTGCTATGTGTGCCTTTGTGGGATATAGTCCTGACCACAAAGGATTCTTGTGTTATGACCCTGCTATTCGTTGTATTCGGATTTCATGGAATGTTAAGTTTCTTGAACATATTTCCTTCTTTGCTGGAATTGCT